AGGGACAGCAACGCAGAAGGATTGCCAAGAAGAGATTAAGATGAGCAGGCAGACTTCAGGGCCCATTTGAGGTTTATGTTTACAAATTTGAACTGAAGGGAATTCCCTAGCCATCTGGTGGTTAGGACTTCTCATTTTCACTGTTGGGGGTCGGGGTTCAGTCCTCAGTTGGGGAACTAATATCCCACAAGCTGTGCAGCTCAGCCAAAAAAAAATTAAGTGAGATCTGTCAGCATGCCTATGGAGTTTTTTTCAGCAATATTTATCTGATGGTGTACAGGTGAGAACGTTTGTATTACTGTGTCAGCTCATTTTTCCCCAAATATGTACATATGTATTTCTTCAGAGAAAATAAATGGCTTTAAACAAAGACAGACAAGGTGTGAATTGCAAAGCTTTTAATGAAAATGCATTTTTTACAGCAAGCATAACTTCACATTTGTTCAATAGCAATTATTTCAATACTTGCAAACTCACCCGCCTCTGAATCTCTCATAATGCATGAATCTAAGCTAATAATATTAAGGAAATGCAACAGCTCACCTAATCCCCCTTTATATTCCTTCATGATCAGCAAGATGCATAAATGATATTTTTTGGATTAAGAACTGAATATGCTGGAGATACATTTGATAATTAAGGTTTTAGGCAAATATTCACCAGCATTATTTCTAATAGCAAACTCAAAAATGTTGTAGGCCTAGTATCAAACAAGTAGCATATTAATACATTTTAAGTCTCTTAAAAGAAAGACCACAATTCCTGCTTCTGTAAAACCATTATTTGCTTGAAAGAATGATGGTATAAGCTTTCACTCAACTATTACTTTCTTAATGTGAAAAAGAGACAAAATGAGCTGAAGAATGTTAACTTCACAGTTACAGGGTGCAACCCTCAACATAACTGCCGATGTCATGGTCTCAACAATGACTTTTCCATGCTACCCTATGGAGAAAGATGAAACAAATGGTACTAAGGCTAAAACATAGCTCCACTGTAATATACATACTTCAAATCCTTTGGGAGAACAAAATAGTTTATCAGTACCCAAAATAGAGTCTACAGACAGATCCAAGTATTGCTATTTATTAACTGGAGTTAGGTGTACCAAGGACTTCACATCTCCCCCAAGCCTTCACTAGAGCACAGAATGCCAAACACAAATGTTGAGTCCTGTGTAGTCCACAACACAACTGCAGAGTGCATTCCACATTTACTTAATTCCAAAAATAATTTCAAAATATGACAAGGAATTAGTAGAGCCTATAAAACCTTAAAAACTCTAGAATCCCCTAAAATAAATTGAGGAGTAAAAGAATAAGATTCTGAATCACTGAAAATAGATTGTTTCTATGTAATAAATTGTCTAGCATAAACCTAAAGCTGTAATTTTCAGTTCTCAGTAGCATACTTGGGAATATTCCCTCGCTTCTCTCGTAAGTTGGATAAAAGAGCTCTCGCCTGGGACTTTCCTGGTGGTCCAGTTGTTAAGACTCCACCATTCCAATGCTGGGGTTGGGGGTTGATTCCTGGTAGTGGGGTTGGGGTCTAAAATCCCACCTCGCCCGAGGCATTGCCAAAAGCCCCTGCCCCCCTCCCTCGCCATCAACCTTTTTTGTTTTTTTTTTTTTTTGGCCCCATCACATGGCAAGTGGTCCGCTGTCCAGTATCCCCTGTGTTGGGAGCAAAAAGTCTCAACCACTGGACACCAGGGAAGTCCCCAGCTTTCCTCTTTAATGCTTAACACATACCATGCTCTGTAACATGAACTTACTTAGTGTCGTAGGCCCATTATACCTCAAACACAAACATACGAACAAACTCATAGAAAAAGAGGTTAGATATGTGGTTACCAGAAGTAAGAGGCTGAGGGGTGAGGGGTGAGGAACTAGACAAAGGCAGTCAAAGGTACTACAAACTTCTAGGTATAAGATAAATAAATACTGAGGATGTAATTTAGAATGTGATCAACACAATTAACACTGCTATTTGTTATGATGAAAACTGTTGAGAGTAAAGCCTAAGAATTTTCATCACACATTAAGTTTTCTTATATTTCTATAATTCTGTACCCATATGACATGATGGATGTTCACTAAACATTGTGACAATAATTTCATGATGTATGTAAGTCCAATCATTAGGCTATACTCCCTAAATTTCTACAGTGCTGCATGTCGATTACATCTCAATAGAACTGGAAGGAGAAAAAAAAACAACCCAAACAAAAACAACATACCATGCTGTAATGCCTTGCTCACTGACAGTCTTCTTTGCACATGCTACAGCTTTAGCGATGTCATTTTCCATTAATGATGAAAATAAGGTGGTGAGAAATGAAACAACACTCACAGAAATTTCATTTAAGTTTATTCTCTTAGGTTGATGAAAGAACAACTAAATTCTCTTAGGTTGAGGAAAAAACAACTAAAATTATTTTTTAAGAGTGAAGGTATCTGTGAATGTTGGGAGAAAACTCTTTCTTTATTCTGTCCAATTTGGTGTGAAAGAAAGCATTTTGTTTCTCATTTTCCAAAGTCATTGGAACCTCTGGAACTATTGAATATTGTGATAGAAATTTCTTTTTCTTACTAAGCACCACAAAAACAGAACAAAACAAATAAGCAGAAACTGGTCTAGCAGTTTTTTGCTTAGCAATTCTATTACTGGAAGTTTAACCTAAAGAAATATTAAGAGATGCACCCAAAGATGTGTGTACAAGATGTTTCATAGCAATTAATATAAGGGGAAATTAAAGGAGAAATTATAGCCTAAGTTCTTAACAGTGTGAGTTGAATAAATTATACAATATTTATTTAATGGAATTTATTCATCTTGAAATGTAATAAAGATTGGTATTTGTTGATAAAAATAATTTTGTATAATGAAGAGCATATTGTAAAGCAGTAAATTTACTACAGTTTCTTTTTATGTGAAACACATGGCTTATGTGTTCATATGTGGGATAAATGCGTATATATCGGTGGCTCAGCTGGTAAAGAATCCACCTACGAAAAAAAAAAGAATCCACCTGCAGTGCGGGAGACCTGGGTTTGATCCTTGGGTTGGGAAAATCCCCTGGAGAAGGAACATATATCCACTCCAGTGTTCTGGCCTGGAGAATTCCATGGACGGCATAGTCCATGGGCTCCCAAAGAGCCAGACACCGACTGAGCGAATTTCACTTTATAGATTATAACACAAAATATTTTTTAAAGTAAATTACCTGGTTACAAAAGATATTCTTAGACTAATCTTCATTAGGAATTTTAATGTATGAAAATTTAACAATATAAATTTTGGATTGTTCTGCAATATTTTGTGCACCTAAGATTGCACATCATCTCTATTTCAAAAGAAACTCAATAGAATATTTATTTCACTCCAATTAAACAAATGTGTAAATTAACCTGTATGTTAGCAAACAGCAACCTTTTAAGATACCAGCTCTTTAATTTCTTAGTTAAGAAATTAGGAGAAGGATAATAGAGAGTTTATAGAAATTATGGTGGAATTTTTCTAGGTCCCTAATGAACTCTTCAAGACATTTTCATTTCTGCTGAATCTCTATTCTTATAGGTATAACCAGAGGAGTCCTGAGTCATCACTCAACATCATCTTGTCTTACCACTGCAGGACACGTGACAGCCATCAACTCCTTTTGGGGTTTTGCCGTCATCACACCACCATTTGCCGTTGATCTGAAATATCCCATAATTACTGCTTTCCCTGCTAGGATTGTAGTTTGTAGCTTTTGTGTTATAACCACTTTCCCATTTGGTCAAACAACCCTGAATAAAAATATTTTTAGATTATAAACAGCAACACAACTAGACTTAGAGTTCATAGCCCAATTAGTTCAATTTAACTAATTCTATTTTAGTAATGACTTATTTATAAGTATAAAGATGTATTTACTTGTGAAATATTTTAACACTTTTGTGTTAACGGGCTGTTAAGAGAATTCCTTCATTAGCAAATCATTTGATAATAGCAATGAAGCAAGATATATTTTTTAAAATATTAGAAGACTCTCTTCTGCTCCTGTCTCTCAGGTAAGATTGAGCCTAGAATAGAAAATCAACAGAATTGTTGAGTGAGTTTGGTTGTTTGATGCAGATGTATACACTGGTGGAAAAATACTCTTATTAGGAAAAATGAGGGTTTTCTGGGAGAAAGAAAATTTCTTGTGATACCTGAAGGTGAATTTGGGTACCAAATTTGAATCCAGACAATAAGAATCATTGAATAGGAAAGACTATATCATCCATCCATCCATCTAGCCATTGGCTCATTCATTCAAAAATAGCTATGGAGTGGAAATGTCTGAATTTTACCTGAAAAATACAGTGATGACATTGACAAATATGGACCAAAATATACAGTAACTTTTCCTTAGGGAACATCTTGAATTCTATGTAAGAAAATGAAAAATAATGAACTAGAGTCAGCATAATAAAACATCATTACATACCGCATTTCCAGGATCCTCAGATAGATACTGATTGAGGGGAAATAGTTCTTAACTATCCCTGTTTTAAGAGTTCAATGTAAGTTTTAAAAAAACCTTGCTGTTAAAAGCCCAATATCATGGGAGGGGAATTGAAAATGAGAAAAACACAGTCTTATTCAGGCTTGAAGAACCCAACTTCTAAACTGGAAATGGATAGAGTCAGACACCAAGTGCTTGAAAGAGATATCCCAGGTGCTGAAATACATCTTATAGTCAGCCTTCATGTGCCAACTGGCAAACTTAGTGGTGCTGGAGGCATGCATGGGAACCTGGCATGCTTAGAACGGTATAGAATTTGAACTCCCCAGGCCTCAATCCTTCAGCTTGTACATCTGATTCTAAAGGAACAAGTTGATGTTAAGTGTACAAACCCTCCAAGAAAGAAAAAAGCCATTCACTCAAAGTCCCTTTCTTATTATTCATCCTCTATTAGTATCTGTTCCACACCTGGCTACCTATTTGGAAGGATGAAGAAGAGTTAAGTTACATTTTGCCAGGCTGATTCCCTTATAGCCATCCAGTCCAAGTTCCTTCAGAGTTCTGGCAAGCTCACATCTCTCAAAGACCTTGCCTTGGACAGCGACAGAAAGGAGGAGAAGCCCCAGGATAATGAGAGCCTTCATGTTGACTGAGAAGCCAGACGTCCAGACTGACCAGGGTGAGCTGGGCTTGCTATTTAACATCTTTTCACTCCCCTCTTATCTCACTGGTTTGGTCGCTCTACCCTCTAAGACATGTGGAAAACAGAAACAGCTTATTGGTCCACTGACTTAAAAGCTTTCCTTCTTACGTTTGAAGAGAGATATTCTGATACTCTAAAATTAACCTGCAAGAAAATAATGAAACGAGATTTGCTTAAAGACATTTCTCAGGAAAAACTAAAATTAGCACTATTGCCAAAAGAGGAATTTCCTATTTTATTATGAAGTTGAACAAGCTTAAAGAAAAAAAAAAACCTGAATGAACATTTTACTCAACTGAAAATGAGCTCCCATCTTTGATTAACATGCATTTACACTAAGTAGTTTTATATGTCTGCAGCATATTGTCTTCATCTTTTTCACTTAAAATTATTTTATATACACTTTTCACAAAAGAACGTGACACCTGCCTGTTGTTCTGATCAGTATATAGCACAGCACCATGTTGCTCAACCAGATTCTTATACTAAATATTTTGCTGTCTATTGTAAATTCTTAGTTTATAAATCCATGTCTTAATATGATTAGTAAGCATCATGCGAATAACATTCCTAACTCCTTTCTGACAATGCCTTACTTCAATTTCCATGTTAGAACATAAAGGGTCATTGTAAATCAAGGGAACTTTATACTAAAACCTACAGAGGAGTAACAGAATATGCCACCCCAAAATCTTCCCTTTTGCCCAAGGATTATTTTGAGCTGAAAGCAATTGAGAAGAATCAGATTCCAGAAATGTTCTCTTCTCCCCTTATCATCCTGAAAGCAGAACATAAATGTGTGCAGAAATTAATCACCAACAACCCTTGACACATACCAGCCCCAAGACAGCACCAGAAGACTACCCATTTTGACTGTCAGTTTGTAATGTATTTATCGTCCCGAAATTTGGCACCCTTGGAAACCTAGTTCTCTTTTCCTCTGTGTAGTCTTTCCTCTCAATATATGTTGTTATTTGGTCAATGTGATCTATAAATCCAAATTCTAGCCACTTCTTTGAGTTACTCATCTCCGCATTTCTCATAAGTGTACATGAGATGTATATGTTAATATACTTGTTTCCTTTTCTTTTGTTAATCTGTCTTTGGTTACAGAGATCCAGTCAAAAACTGAAAAGGGTAAAAGGGAAACAAATGTTTCATCCTGTCCGGTTTCTAGTGATGAGGATGGAACAGTGACAGGCTGGAACACTCCATTCTCCCCTGGAGACCGCGGTTGAGATATGGGATAACTGACAACGGAGCAGCAGAAGGTAAGAATTCTTACCGTTTCAGTCTCCCAGCTTTCTGTCTAGAGTGCACAGTCAAGAAAGGAGGGTAACAATTTTTCCTTGTCTCTTCCTATTCAAATTCACACTGGCAGGAGAAAAGCATTTGTGAAAACAGATCTTGAATTTTTACTTTTGTGAATTTGGTTTTGGTAATCAACACCTATGGTTATTGATCCTTAGCCTTCCAGAAGGAGTCATATTTCCCTTTGTCCCTTTCATTTGTCATAAGGATGAACAACCATAAGGTGAGAATCGCTATTTGTCTTGTTTTATATCCTGAGAACTTTGCTTTGTAACCAGTGAGAATATTCCCTCTGGTTTCTGCCAGTGGGGAGGTGGTGGAGAGGGGGGAGTTCAGGCTGTCTGTCAGACTTGCATCAGCAGCTAGCCAGCCAGCTAGGAGCTGAAGACATGAAGTGACAGGCAGCATTCTCCTTGTCCGAACATGCTGGCTCTCAGGGGAGTTTGTCCTAATTCATAAGGGCCCTTTATGGCCTCTACCTTCGTTGCCTCATTTGTGAAGAAAAAACTCTCATAGCAGCATCACCTTCTGGTAACCCAGGTTAGGAGGATAGTGATTCAAGCTGTCTCACTTTGTTGGAGATAGAGGTTCTTTGCCACTTATGACAAGAAAAGTTTTGGCTTTCTTAGGCTTTTCTGGAGTGGGCTCTGCATTTTGAGAGGACTACATTTCTTAGGAGATGACTCCTATGTCCCTGGCTAAGCCCTAATATTGGTTTCAAGCCATAAAAACATTTATTGGTTTGGAGTCACAATTGAAATAGGTATATTGAAGATGGACTTTTACACCTAAAAGGATTTTTAAGAGAGCTCTCATTTTAAATAAATGTCCTATTGATACCAGTGGAAAGATCAGATGAAAAAAAATAGAGAAATAGCTACAGAATAACACCTTTGTTATTATGAGAAACACACACACACACACACACACACACACACACACACACACTTTCTTCACAAGATTACGAGGGGAAGATCAGAGAATAAATGTCAGGAACTGCAGACATCTCTCAAGCAGGTGTAAAACTTACCTAAATGTTGATAGCCAAGGAATAGATTTCACAAAGGTCCAGAAAATGCACAAGAAGACTTGATGTAATGTCCCTTATTCTATATAGCAGATCCCACCAGTTCCAGACCTCCTGTATTTTGGGCCTGCACTACAAAAATGAAAAAAGGTCATTGAACTATCTATTCCTAGTGATAAAGAAAAGAAAAATGCTATAGTAATTATCCTAGATTTCTGAAAATAGGCAAGTAAGCCCTTGAGTTCCATTTCATATAAAACCTACAATCCTTTCTTAGTCCCTTGTAACTATTAATCTTACCATACCTTTGAAATGTAAGCATCCAAAGAGATCATTGTTGGCTAAAGCAATCATGGCACTAGAAACAAACAAAAGAGAGAGAGACTTTTTCTAAAAAAACAAACTTCATTTGACATTTTGATAAGCTCCTTTGCCCCAAATTTTGCCCATGGCCTCTACAAGATTATTCATTAAAGACAAATATCTTAATAGATTTTTCCAAAAATATTAGCAAAAGGCTTTAGTCATCTGAGTGGGTAAACTTAACTTGTTCCATTTGCCAGAAACACCAATTAAATCCTTTATTAAGCTAGTGAGTTTTATACTATTGTACTTGATACATGGCTAAAAATTTAAACAAAAGTTATAAGATCTCTGTTTGCATCTGTTAATATCTGTATGTCTATGTACCTCTATGTATGTATATTCTGTACATATGACATTTTTCTCCCTCTGGATAGTAGTCATAAAAACTTGTGAAAGAGCTCTATTTAATTGGCTTAAAGAAAATAGAAGTACTTATGTAAATTAAGATGTCAAATAAGTTTATGTTATCTCTACTGGATGTTTGAGATTATAAAATTGTAAATTCAACCTAAGAACTAAATTTACAATAAAAATCATTTCATTTCCTATGCTGTGAATATCACAGGAGAAAGAAAAGCCATGTTTAAATTTTTAAGTTCTTTGCTTCTGTGATTTTTGCTACTTTCCTGGTTTTTCAACAAGAAAAATCACTTAAACTGATGATTAATTTTTAATGTCTCATTAAATTTTCATGGCAACTCAGGCATAAGTGTTAAGAACACATGAATTAAATGGATATAAGTGGGAGGAATATTTGTAAATACATTTTGCAACTCTTATTATGGTTTATAAAATATGTCTGCTTAAAAAACATTTTCAAACCCTTTGTAATCTTAGTTTAAACTATGTATACTCATTGAATATCTAGCTCATTTCCAGATATGAGGAAATGCTGAAACATTGTCAAATACAGGTTTAAGTTTATCTTCTTTTCACTTTGTTTTAGAGAAAATAAAGGTATTTGGGTCTGTTAATAACACTTTCTTTTTTCCACTTTAAAACAATTGTACTATAAAAAGGCATAAGATCCCAAAAGCCATGCAACCTGGACAAAAAACAAATAAGTATATAAAATTTCAAAAGAGCAAATAAGATAAAAGATGTGGGTTCTAGTAACAAAGTGCTAATACAGGAGAGAGGAGAAGAAATAATTATCAAAATGAAGGGAACTGCATCCCTGTGGACTCTCTGGGGGAAAAAATCAACTTTAAAAAGTCCTGGAGGATTTCCCTGGTGGCACAGTGGATAAGAATCTGCCTGGCAATGCAGGGGACATGGGTTCGATCTCTGGTTGAGAAAGATTCTACATGCCATGGAGCAACTCAGCCTGTGTGCCACAACTACTGAGCCTGCCGTCTAACCCTGCAAGCTGCAACTACGGAAGCTGGGGTGCCTAGAGCCTGTGTTCTTCAACAAGAGAAGCCAGAGTAGCCCCTCCTCACTGCAACTAGAGAAAGCTCCCTTGCAGAGGCAAAGACCCAACCAAAAAATAAAAATAAACTAATCAATTTTAAAAAATCTTAGAATACATGTGTTATAGCCCAGCTAAAAAAAAAAAAAAAGACCAGGAATGTCTGAACCTATTGAAAGGAGTTTGACAACTCTGAGACTTTAGATAATGAATTAATACACGAATAAGTACATGGGAAACTAAGCAAACAGAAAAGTAAGCCAATTGTTTATTCCAAGGAAACCAAGAAACTTAAGAATAGAAATACAACCAAACTATACGATCATACTATACTCATCTGTGAGTATTTGTACATGCTTGTAAAGAGGAGCAACAAGGCAAGGGGAGTTGAGAGAGCTAAGTCTTCATCTTCCCTGTTGGAGATAAGTAGAAAATATCTATGATTGAAAATCAAAAAGGAGTAAAATAACCATACTCTTGAGACATATGGTTGTAATTGTCTGTGTCCTGTGTCGTTCAGTTGTGTCCAACTCCTTGCAATCCTGAGGACTGTATCCCACTAGGTTCCTCTGTCCATGGGATTATACCAGCAAGAATACTGGAGTGGATTGCCATTTCCTCCTCCAGGGGATCTTCCTCACCCAGGGATCAAACTCAAGGTCTCCTGTGGCTCCTGCACTGACAGGCAGATTCTTTATCACTGAGCCACCTGGGAAGCCATATGACTATAGTAATAGACTATAACTAAAGAAGCTATTTGGCTGGTGCAAAAGTAATTGCAGTTTTGCATTGCTGAACTTTGCCATTTGATATTAGAATACATTGT